TTTTTTAATAAAATAAAATACTGCCTATTTTCCAAAATAGTTGTACCATGTTCCATTCTCACCAGCAGAAAAAGAGAGTTCTGGTTGCTTCACTTCTCTGTCAGTGTGTGGTATTATAAATCTTTCTAATTTTATCCATGCTACTGGGTGTGTGGAGGTTGTATTTATATATTACCCTTGTTTTACAGTGTGTGTGTGTGTGTGTGTGTGTGTGTGTGTGTGCGCGCGCGTGTGTGTGTGTGTGATTTCTTTTTTTAATAGTTATTTGCTTTGGCCCCTTAGTTTACTTTCTGGTTAAAGGATCCCATTTTCTTTCTAGAACTATTCCTCTCCTATCCCAGGGCCTGTGGTTTGAGTGGGGCTGGCTCCAAAGGTGGGCACATGACCCAGGTGAGGCCATTGGAGTATTTCACTGCCCACCCCCCCCCGCCCCACCGGACACAGTGATTGGTGCATGTGACCCACGTAGGACCAACCAGGGTCATTCTATGGGACTGGAACTTGACATTAGGTGAGCAAGGACCTCTTTTCCTGCAAGTGACAGTGTTAAGGCTGACATAAGCCTGGAGCTATGTTTGCCTCTACGCAGAGAAAGCCTGCCTAAGAAGAAAATCAGCCCAGGAGAAAGCAGAGCCTGGAAATGACAAGCCCCATTGTTAGTTTCTAGAATACAGATAGGACTAAAATGTGTCTCTGTCCTCAGGGAGCTCATTATAGCCTCAGGGAGTAGACATATTTACACCCCAATTACAGTATAATGTAGTCACGGCCAGGGTACAGATATTCATAGGATGATTGAGGAGAAGGTATAAATCAGTTCATGGAAAAATTCCTGGAACAGGTGTTTGGAGCAGGGTCTTAAAGGGTAATGAGATTTATCCAGCCAAGGCCAGGCATGGGGAAGTCACCCAGACCAGAAGGCAGAGTGTTTCCAAAATCTGGAAAATGTGGGACAACATGCAAACTTAAGAAAACCTGTATGTGGTACAGTCCAACTAGAGGGAAAATATTTGGGAGTGTCTGTCTCTCTTGCTCCCCGATGCTCGGTGGTGAGGTGGGCAAAAATGAAGCCAGAGAGGCAGATGGGGGCCAGGTTATAAAGGATGCTAATTAAAAGATGAAAAAAAAAATCTCTTCTAAAGCTGCAATGAGCTACTGAAGCTTTGACAACTGGGCAAGGTGTGGCAGCAGCGTGAGGGCTGGGAGGCACGGAAGACCAGCCTGGGGTACAGGGCCCTGGCCAGAGTCCCCTGCAGTAAGTTAGGTGAGGAAGGACGGAGTCCAGCCCTCTGCGAACAAGAATGGTCTCTATTTCAGCAGCGAGAGAGAATTAAAAGTAATTTCCTGCATACAGTGAAAATAACACCAGTAGGAGCAGGGAATATAATCGTTCAAATAAGCCTGTTGTTTTTCATCTATTTTTAATGTTTATTTATTCTTTTGAAAGAGACAGAGTGTGAGCAGGGGAGGGGCAGAGAGAGAAGGGGATACAGAATCCAACGCAGGCCCCGGGCTCTGAGCTGTCAGCACAGAACCTGATGCAGGTCTTAAACTCACAAACCGTGAGCACCACCTGAGCTGAAGTCGGATGCTTAACCCACTGAGCCACTCAGGCGCCCCAGGCCTGTTGTTTTTAATTTTAGCAATTCCAAATTACGTTAAAAATGGCTCCTGAATTATTGTTACAATTCACAATATCTAAAGTACTTACCTCTGTGATCTGTAAATCTGTGCTTATGGTTCTCCCTATAATGTACATTAGGTTAACCAGCGATTGTGTTCCATACCTACGAAGCAACAAGATGCTAATCAGACGTGGAAAATGTTTTGCAAGATAAAGCTATACTTATATAGCAGGTAAATGCTAAGCGTACAGCCCCTATTGATTCCTATCTCCTGAATCTAAGCAAAATCATGTATGAATAAGGTTAGGGTCATCATTTAAGAGGGGATCTATTATATAGAGAATTTTATCAGCACTAAGGAAACATTTACAGTTAAATATCGATTTCTGTACACGTAGTTCTAAAACTTTTAGTTACATATAAAAAGATCCTAAAAACAACAACAACAACTGTTTCTATCTTTTTAAATGAAGTGGTTAGAATAGTGGTCACACACCTCAAATTAACATACTCTATAAGGGGGTAAGTAAATATGCAAAATTATGCCCCTTAACAAACAGTTATTAATATGGGATCACTTTCAGAAACTCTGGCTAAACTACCCTGAAAGCTTATTTAAAATTTTGAATTTGTATATTGTTTTTGGAGAAATGATCCATGTCTTTGGAGATTCTCAAGATGTTGGTGATCACAGAAGGGCTAAGTACTTCTGTTCCCTCAAAGAGGCACAGTGACTGTAACTTCCCCTCTAGTTTAGTATCCTTGTGTAGCCAACAGGGATCTTCTGCAATAAAAGCCCAGGAAACATTGTTACGGAAATACAGCAGATACATACCTGCCCAAAGCCTTGCTGAAGTTAAAAAGGTAAATAAAGACTTTTGGATGCATTAAAGAAGAAAGAAAATTAAAATAGGGTTAATGCTTTGGACCGAACAAAAAAGGGTTGCAATGACACTGTTTTTTTGACAGTTGACAGTTAATACACACGACTGACTTACTTCAAAAATGTATACTTGACACTAAAAATTGCAAGACTTCACACTGGCATAATATCAAACAATGGTGAGAGAAAACAATGCTTTCATTCTTTTTTAAGTTTTCAGCTGTAACTTAAGCTGTGTGTTCCTGACGAAAGCGAAGGAGACATAGTCTACATATAAACAAATTTGTTTCTATAGGAAAAGAGGACACACTTCTTAGTTTTCCATTTTTTTTTTAATTTTTTAAATGTTTATTTATTTTTGAGAGAGAACAAGAGGCAGAGCACCAGTCAGGGAGGGGCAGAGAGAGAGGGAGACACAGAATCCGAAGCAGGCTCCGGGCTCCTACCTGTCAGCACAGAGCCCGACGCGGGTCTTGAACTCACCAACTATGAGATCACGGCCTGAGCCGAAGTCAGATGCTCAACCGACTAAGCCACTCAGGGGCCCCCTTAATTCTCCATTTTTATTGGTCAAGTATTAAAAGCTTGTAAAACAACTCAAGAAATTTGGCAATATTTGCAAAAACAACAACAAAGCAAACAAACAAAAAAAGCCAAAACAAACTGAGTTCCAAGCTTAAAAAAAAAAATGTGGAAAGCTACCTAGGGCCCTACCAGTGTGATTTTCTACCAGAGGAAGAAGACTACCCTGAGAGGCAGGGCTGGGTTTGAAATTATCTTGAGCAGTTTATAACTTATAAAAGATGGGGACTGACATATAGTTCGAAGCATTGTTCTAGAGATGAAATGAGATGCTGTGTATTGAAGCACCCATCACAGTACCTGGCACACTTTATCCCTTACTATTCTTGCAAATTCCAAGAGGAGGTCTTTCTGCCACAGATGATCTGTCCCTCTTGTTGAGAGAGCCATCTCTGAAACCTTACTGAGCAAAACTGTATACATTACAAATAGTTTATCCTGCCAGTGGTCTGATACGTGCTCATGAACGGAACGACCAGAGCCGATGTGCGTCAGTTTA